ACAATGTGACGGTCAATCCCACTATTCGTGGTAAAAGAGTAGCCCAAGAGTTGGCTAAATTAGGGACGGCTAGTTCAGATAGCCCTCGTGTAGCTTTGCGCGAAATCCGTAACAACCAAACAAACATACATCTGAAAAGAGTTGTTGTCGTTCATATTTAATTTATATATAAGATATTTAAATTACATTTATTTGTTTTACTAAAACTGAAGTCAGTAGTATTGAGAGCGTTAAAGCGAAACCTTAATAGTTATTAAATGTAATGCTTTTAAAACCAGATTTCGTAATGCATGGACTTTTTAATTAAAGAGAATAAGTATGTGGCACCGGATTTCTACTGCATCAAAAGCACTGCCTGATCAGATAAAATGTATTCTGTATGCACAAAACTTTATGATTTTTCATTGAACAATTCCAGTCATAAATGTAAAGCCTTCAAAAGAATCTTCGTATTATGTAATTAGAATTAAATACGTAAAGTAAGTATGTAGCACTTATCATTTTACCCTTTGTCAAAGGACAGTATTTAGTCGAATATCACATCTTCTGGGTTTACAAAGCGCCATGTTGTTTTATGGAGTACTTCGCTTCATTTAGAAATACAGGCGCGAAACACCTGACCTTTATTGCATTGTTGGGACATCTGCTCACTATACTTATGTCCTTAGACATAAGGAAATCGTACTACTACTACTACTTATGTCTGTTAAATGTACGCGATGTCATTTGATTACACTCGAAAGCTAAAGCATTCTTTTTTTTCGGTGCTCATGCATAACTTAAATAATCTTTGATCATTTAGAGAACGTAGAGGGAAAATGAAAAGATGGAAACTATAGGCTTGTTATAGTTTACAAACACAAACACTGCACTCTTGATATAATATTCTAATCATCACTTAGCAATATGCGCAATGAATAAGTATATTTTTGTATTATTATTCTTCATCAGGATTCGGTCCATATTTTGGACCAGGGATGGTCAGGTAGACCTCTTTCCTCCCTCTGTGGAATTGTTATTTTGTTTGCACTGTTACTGAATCCTGGGTAATAACCCTTGTTACTTTGTTGTTATTATAGTCATTGCTAATAAATCTATCAGTGGTGACTGAATTGTAACAGTGAATTCGTTGTAATGCGCGCACTATCGCTATCTGTTGGCAGTAATATATATAAATAATTAACGCCGTGTAAAACACTATAGTCAAAGCCAACTACACTTTTTTATTATTTTATTCCAATGCATATCATTGTATTTTAGACTATCTTTTATATTTTTGCTTTTGAGAATTCATCATTCCAACTATCCATTCGATGATTGGGAAGTTTACAGTTTATCATAAAAAAATTTCATCAAAATTCGTTTTCCAGTAAAATCAACTGTATAATTTTTGTGTTCAGGGAGGTTGGATTTTCCACGTGATGGCAACATACTGATGCTGAAGTTCATTAGTGATAGCTATGGATCAAGACGCGGTTTCGACATCGCCGTTCGCCAGGTGCTAGATTCATGCAGAGTGCCAGTTCTACCGCCATCTGGTAGGTCTAACGTATTCGAAAAATATTTTTTAGAATTTTTCTCATAAAGTATTACAAATATATTTTTGGTAATGCGATTATTAAAATTTTTAATTTCTAACTGAATAGGAATAAAAGAGGATCTTTTGCTTCTTATGGCTTTTTACCCTACGTGAACGAGAGGGCGACCCACAGTTCCCCAAAGTCTTTTCCAACCCTCTAACTCCTTCCCCGAAAAAAGGCTTGCCTAACGATGCTTGAAAAGTACCTCTTTTTAGTCAATGAGCCCCTGACCCTCAAATGTTCTCTGCGTATTACTGATTTTAATTTTATAAGATTTTTTATACGAGTAAATTTTGTTTTTTATCAACCTTCTAGTGGATAATCGGTAAATTTATGTATTTATAACTTTTATAATTGTTATGTTCCAAGCATTCAATGGAACATTTTCATAGACTTT